GCAGGATTTAAAGTTGTTATTTTTGCTGTTTGGCAGAATTTAGGCTAAATCTGCTGCCAAACAGCCTCTAAGATTGTTCAATCATTAGAATAAAAACTATATAAATGAGTTTTAAAATGAAGAAATATAAGTCTTGCACTAAGCGCGCTGGATATATTGACCCATAAACACTCGATTTTCTATCTTCCAGACCATCCAAGATCTTCATGGCCATGTGGACTACTCATTTGCGTCAGCATGGCACCCTGATGGTTCCATGTTTGCAACTGGCAATCAGGACAAGACTTGTCGGCTATGGGATGTGCGCAACCTCTCCAGCTCCGTCGCCGTTTTAAGAGGCAACCTCGGAGCCATACGATCGATCCGTTTTAGCTCTGATGGTCGGTTCATGGCCATAGCAGAGCCAGCAGATTTTGTTCATATTTTTGATGTTGGAAGTGATTATAGCAAACGTCAAGAACTTGATTTCTTTGGTGAAATATCTGGCATGTCATTTAGCCCTGACACTGAGTCTCTCTTTGTTGGTATATGGGATCGCACTTATGGCAGCCTCCTTCAGTATAACCGGCGACACAACTATTCCTATCTTGATTCCTTTTTTTGAGGTAAAATTTAGCTGCAGGGTCTTTGAAGCTTGCTGCTGTAGAATCATCTCAGACTTGGCTTGTTTTGCCTTAGAAAGCAGTGCAGATCATATGATATTAGTTCAGGCTTAGAGGTGGACGTGCCAATGATACTAGAAAATCATCTTTGTCTTCTCAATAATGTTGTAACCCTGCTGAAATGTATAAAGAAATGCTGTACAGTAGTTCTTAGAGAGTGCCCTCGAAGTAGAAATGAAATTTCATTGTAGATTGACCTGGGACTTCAATGTTCTTGTAAACTTCTACAGTTTTTAGTTGCAGCATTTTCCAACTTTTTTGTTTCCTTTCTTTTCAATTGAACAGCAATTCCAAGAAGGTTTTCTGTTATTTTTGCATCAATTCACTGTTGTGGGATGCATCAGTTGATATTAAAGCCAAATTTCATTCTCTTCAGTCTATTTCCTCATATGTGTAATTTGTGGTCTCGTTTATTTTGATTGTTTTTATTATGGTCGAAGAAGGTTTAAGAGTAACTTCACTTTCATTTGGGATGGAGTGACGACTCAATATGGAGAGATGATCTAATGTGAGAAAGAAATTATTAAGATACGTAAGTGTATTAAGTTTATTCATTGAATGTCTAAAAAACATGTCAATATAAAAAATAATTAGGAATCATTTGATATCATTTTTTTATATTTTTTTCATTTTGATTTAAAATAGAATATTTTTGGTATATTTAAA